ACACATACACACACTGCACCATGTAACTAAAAGTGCACGCAAATGTAACTAAGCATACACGCTCATGTATTGATACACACACATCTACTTACGGGATTCAAACTCTTTGAGCAGTAGCAGCCTTTCTGAAGGGGTGCGCTCTGTTGTGACTCTCTGCAATGTAAAACACATGAGACACATGAGACCATTTTAGACCAAAAACAAAGAAAGAAAAATACAAGTTATCCTTTTTTAAATGGTTTTATTTAAGACCAATTAAGAAGTAATTAAAACACTATAACAATATAGCAGCTGCTTAACAACTGTAGCAACAACAGCACTGGCTTCAGGAGCTTTGGCGTTCAATGGGTCCAACATGCAAAGGTATTCAAATGGAAGTGGTAAAACTAACTTACCATTGAGCTGGGCCACTTATTTCATTTGACTGTGTTTTTAAAGATTGTTTAAAAGGTTAAACTTTGTGTTGACTTTGGAGCTGGTCATTTAGAGTTCTCCTTGCACTTGTAATGCAAGAAAATCACAAGTAACTAATTACATTAAAGACCTTTTCTATAGTTCTTATGTTCAACTACTCCTGCATGAACATCCATGTTGTTCCCAATAAAAAAAAAAAAAAAGACATCTCAGAACATTAAAACATTTCTTTTTACCTGTTTCATGATGAGTCTAGCGACCAGTCTGACAGTCTCTGATGGACACCAGTTTTCCCCATAGGCACACATAGCGACACACTCCAACTTATGCATGGGCCAATCACCTCTCTGCATAAATACACAAAGAAGACAGAAATAATAAGTTAGTAACCTTCAATTATTACAGCAAGTAATCCCATTCAACAGGACAATACAATGAAATGACACAAACTGAGCGAGAGAGACAAAGAGCAAGAAGTTGAGTGTAACAAAAAGAGAATTAATTAACAAAGTGGACGAAAAATGATTATCAAAGCTTTTTTTATCCATAACTTATTAGTCAAGGCACTCAGTTGCAGCACACCGAGTGTGTTTGGTGCTATGAAAGTAAAACGAGACAGAGGCAGAGGGAATCGTCATAGCAACAGCAGTGTGAGCGTGTGCTCTCCCTGCTTCTCGTTGCCTGCATTGAGCTTTGCTGAAGGGGTTTTCAAGGTGTGGTCCAAGGTCCGGTACAAGGTCCCATGGTGAGTCAAAAGAAGTTCCTTTAGGAAAAACTATTCTCATTCTCTTTGTCTTTCTATTTGAGAACAGACAGCACAAATAAGACCTAAACAGGACTGTATATTATTTATAACAACTACTGTTGGCATTCACAGTAAAATGTATTCATGGTCAGCTGCTTTAGTTAATTGTGGAAACTTGCAGACTTACTCATCCACAGAAGCTAAAAGCCTTCCATGGAAAAGCACAAAAAGGGAGCAGAAAGCTTACCTGACAGTCGACATTGCAGTAGTAGGCTTGCTTACATTTGCCACACTTAAAAAGGTCTTCTCTCCTGCAATGACATAAAGACACAGCAAATTCTGTCAGCAGGAGTCCATTGTATTCATTTACATAATATAACTGTCCTGCACCTTCATCTGGGGAGACATCTTTACCTGACACAGGATTAAATTCAAACATTTTGCTGTCAAAGTTTAGACAACATTCAGATACTTGGTATATTCATTGTTAAACTGTTGGTGATTAAGACGGTGGTCTTGCAGGTTTGTTTTAGTCCTGTGACAAAAGGTGAGACGCACAAATACGCAACACATCAACTCATTAAACAGTAACAGAAGTTACTTGGATGCCAAAACTTTAATATTAATAATAATTGCTTCATATGTATTAGAATAAGAAGTTCTTATCGACATTTCTACAAACCTTTTCATACAATTTTGTAAAACATGGGTGATTAAAGATCACTATTACAGCCAGAGACCCTCCACCCCCCTCCATGCACACATGGACCCCTGGCCTTCTCATCTCGTGGCTCCTCCTCTTTTGGGACACATGGACGACTATATTTAGCACCCTAACCTTTTACTGCTCTACAAACCTTAAGGGCAGCTTTGGTAGGACGCACGTGTGTGTGTGTATGAAAGTGAGTTGGTGAGTGTGTGAGAGGGACACAGTTAATCTAACTCTAAAAAGAACCTCATAGTGCATCAGATCTCAACAACACTAGTGGGCAAGATTGAGGACTACACCTTGAAAGGACCAGTGTGCTGCATATACATGTATCACATACACACACCTACACATGTCAGTACTCTCTGAATGTTGTAGGCTGTCCTTTTTAACCACTCCACATCCTACACCGTTACTGGTGCAAGCATTGTTTGAAAACTACCAACAAATAAGTCAAATTCATGTTATAATTCCCCTTCAACTGACTCACGAGTAACACTTTAAACCTGAGTACAAAGACAGACTATGATATCATGAAGGCTGCAGGTTTTCTGTTTGGATGTTAAGTGCACAGAAGCAGTGGTAGGATGTGGAGGAATGCACAGAGATGTGTTATAGTGTAGGGCAGAAATAACATTAAGAAAAGGGCCAACAATTAGTGAAGTGTTCCTTTAACTAAGTAAACCACCTGTGTATGAGCTGCCTATTTAAGATTCAAGACAACAACACTACATGAGAGCAGGCTCTTTTTCTTCTTCTTTTTTTTACATGCTGGCTTTAATACCAATCTAGTAAGCTTATTGTATGTGAATGCTGCGATCTATTTCAGACACTGCAGTGCTACAAACAAACGCTGCAGTGTCAGTCAGGTGAGCTGCCTCACCGCACTGACCCATTTAAGTCTGCACAAGCTCGGTAGGTGTCCAGAGGTTTGCAAGCTAACCTAGCTAGGTAATGGGGTTAGCCAGCGTTGAACTGGACACACGGTTGTTCGCTTTGTTCTGCTTTAAGCTAGCCTAAACAAAAACAAACAAACAAACAAACAAACAAACACACACCAGCGTGAAGCTAGCTGTTACAGAGGTGTTTCCCCAGTTGTTTCAGAAAGGTAAGGTGTTACCTGGTGAAGCAGTTCTCACAGTGCGCCCCTCTCTCATTCACTGTCAACACGTAGGAGTAAGACGGACAGGCGAACACGAGCTCCCCCACCGCGAAGTGCCGGACCGCCCGCAGGCCTCTGCCTCTGTCCGGGCTCAGGAACCTCTCGGTTCCCTCTATACCTTCGTTCTTCATGGTTTGTTCTGTCTGCGGTTCTTCGGTCTGATACCGCCGACCACCACCTGTGTCTGCTGAGTGCTCTAATCAGCTTCTGGCTGAGCTGCTTCTTCCTCTCCGGTCCTCCTCCTGTGTGTGTCAGGCGTGGCTCTCATCGCCCCCTGGTGGACAGGCGATCACACGGTCCCACAGTGTAGTTACTAATGGATGCATACTGATGCACACCTACCATCATACCTACTCACTGCATGCTGGGTTCTGGTTATATGTCTGCTGTATTGTTAGAGTGTCTGTGTTGTCATGTTTTCACTGATTGTACATAGTCATACTGTAAATATCAGTGTATTCTCCTCACTCCGTTCATTCTGTTAATACTGTTCATACTGTAAATATCCTGCTAGTATATTCATATATATATATCTATAATGTTATTATTACTTTTGTTCACATATTTTTGTACATTGCACATTACTCTGCACTTTACTGCTTTGCACTTCTGGTTAGATGCTTAACCGCATTTCATTGCCTAGTACCTGTACTTGTGCAATGACAATAAAGTTGAATCTAATCCAATTTTCTTGTGTAAATTACCTGCATTGCAAGATGCTCGCTTACTGCTCTAGGCTTTTTATCCGGATTTGTCCTGTTCTAATCTGATTCTTGATTGGACTCTAATTTGTTCTTTATTCAATGGTGCCTTGAGTAGCCTACATTTGCTCAAGAACAGTACTTATGTACAGTTTTGAGGTAGGCTAATTGAACTTTACTTCAGTATTTCCATTTTCTGCTACTTTATACAACCACAAGTATGTACTTTGTTTTTTACTCCACTACATTTATTTGCTCACTTTACTTACTAGTTGCTTTGCACATTCATATTAATAATACAAAATATAATTAAAAAATAAAATGATGTTTAGTTATAAAGTAATAAAAAGAGATACAATAAGGGGGGAATTCACAAGCTAACAGCACAGTAGTTAAAAGTAATTAAAATTAGCTTTACCAGCTTTTACATGAATGTGACATCAATATCAAGATGTAGGCCTCTAGCTTGCCTGTTGTCTAAAGTGATAGCACTGTGTGAACTGTAAATAAGCTGCACTGAGAGCTACTGAAAATTGGAGTCAAATTCCTGGTATGTTTAAACATACTTAGACAAAGTTGATACTGATTAATAGGAGCTCTGGCCATTAAATATTCATTTATTTATATTGAATTTTAAAGTATCAACAGACAGATCTGCAGACCCGTGCAAGATAATAGTCCTATACAGTACACTAAATGGCCAAAATACCATATCATACCTTTATGTAGGCCTATTTTTAGCCTGGGGTTGTTTCTCATGGTTTAGGTTAGACTCCTTTAGTTCTAATTCTGAAAGTCTCAATGCTAATGCTGCATACAAAAGGTAGTTCTTTCAACTTTGTGGCAAAAGTTTGAAGAAAGGTCTTCTCCTGTTTCAACATTACACAGCCCTCCTGGGTAAAAACCAAGGTCCAAAAAGAAGTGATTTTATGAGATTAAAGGTATTGCCGGCCCTCACTGAACTCTGTCCAACAGCTTCAGGCTGAACTGGAGCACTGACTGTGAGCCAGACCTTATCATCCAACATCAGTGTCCAACCTTAATGCACTTACTGCTGAATGGGAGCAAATCTCTGAAGCCAGGTTCCCAAGTCAGCAGGTGTCCACATGCTGTTTTTAATATTGAGGAATCACAGAAGTAAAGATTCAGTAAAGAAACTTTACATTATACTTTATATACTGTATGTTTGTGTTTGTGTCAGTGCTATCTATGTATCTATCATGATCTTAAACCATCAACCACTGAAGCAGAGCAAAATACTCGACACCGTTTAGTTTATATATATATATAAATGCATTTATTTTAAGTTAATCATTTCTCCTCATTCAAAGTTGAATTTCTGCAGTTTCTATAAAACAGGGAACAGTTAGAAGCGCTGTACAGTCAGACAACAAAACTAGGAACCGCGGCTGAGTACACTGTGTATATATGTACATACTGTACACACACTGATGTAGGTATATACAAAAATATACACTTTTACATGTTTGACCCCCTCGTGCCATTTCACCCACCACTGTCATTAAATGAAGCCACATTATTACCCCATCAGTTCATGTCCCTTTATATGGATTCATCTTTTATCGGTCATTACTGGTTGATGAGACTCGTACAGTATAGTGTCATATGTGCATGTTAAGCCTCTCGTGTCCTGACTCATACACACTGTTACTGTGACTCGTGGCAAAAGATGGAGAAGCTTAAGCAGTCCTGAGCTGGATGTCTCAGCGGGGCTTTTCACATATCAGAGAGGGCTCTTCTTCTCTTAATCCCAAGAGGGGATTTGAGGTGGTCTGAAGGGGAGAGACATCCCTCGAGTCAGGACGAATCACGACATAAGTCTTCTCCCTGTTTAAGTGAAAAGCTGAGAGAGGACAAAGCTTGACCTTTACACCTCCCCTCTTGATGATCCTACTGGCTCAGTGGAGAGGACACTCTCTCTGTTCTCTGTTCACAGATGGCGTTCAGTTACAGACCCCCCCTTTTTAATGCTAATAAAGATACCCAAAGATACAAGATTGACAATGTTCTTCCTCTCTTTGAATGATGCTTTTAGCTATTTCCAAAATCTAACACACAAGGGTTGGTTCTGCCTCAACAGATGTCTTGCTGACAAATTTAAAGATACCAAAAGGAAACTAATTTTCACCCTGTGTCCATTATAAGACTGACACCAGCTCAGCAGCTAAGAGCCGTCCTCCTCCTGGAGTGTCCTACAGGTCGAACTGAGACTGGGAAGAACAATGAGATAACACAACATACTGTAGGCACCCAACACTGAAATAGTTCTTTGAGACTCATTCTGTATTTCCAAAGACTTTAACCTGTTTTCATTCTTCCTTATTTAGAGAAAAAGGAAGGAAACTTTGGCACATTGTGCTAAAGATGTAAACATTTAATCATCCAATCAAAATGAAGCGCTGGATTACTTAATTATTACAGTCATTTCCTCTGTGACTAACATAAAAATAATAAAAAATAAAATAGCAATCTTTTCATCTTCACAAGAATAAGACTAGTTTAAAAAGAAAAGGCTTCAAACAACACATAGCAGACAGTACTGCCATGGTCACTCAGATGTGCAGTTTGGTTCTCCTGCCTGTTAATAGGGCTGAATCAACAATTTAATAACAACAGAGGGAACCAAAGAGAAAGAAAATGTGATTAAGACTGAAATTCTCCAGTGGTGTATTGTGCCATCTTGAGTCCCTTTTTCTTTACTTTTCTGGCTCTCTACTGGTGTGACAATAGAGGGCGCTACACACCACTAAAACACCATCATGTTACCTTCACTGACAAGGACAAAGGGCCAGATACTTTGACCTCTAGTCTGATGTTCTCACGATCCCTCAGAGTACAACATCAACATTTGATGACAAATATTAATCCTTGAGAATTGCTGTGCTCATGTTGTACAGTTTGGTGTCACAATGATACCAAATTAGAAGACTACAACCCCACTACCAGCTCAAGACCTGACACACTCTCATACAAATAACGGAGATGTAAATGAATATTTAGTTAAAATGATAGTACCTGCACACACAAACCAAACCCCACTACATGTGTGGAAAATTAATTTACAACTTAAATTCCAAAGAGTTCTTAAGTATCACATTTACTGTAATGTTTGCAACATTCTTACGAAATTAAGACACAACTGAAAATGTTTCTTCTTTTTGCAGAATGGCAAAAACAAATAAAAATCAAACACTTTTCCAGTATTTAGAGCTAAATCTGCCTCCTGATTAGTATGACATCCAATTAAAACCCTCAATCAAATTTGGGCCCCTTACGTCTGGTCACCGTGGCAACACAAAGCTTTCCTCACATCCGCGGGTCCCGTGCCTCGCAGCACAATGCAGCAACCTATCAAGTCACAGGATAGGCTTTTCAACCAGCTGCAGTTTCAGCTGACCTTCTTCCACTCTACTTTACAGTTGGATGAGAGTATAAGACAAGGCAAACATCAGGTGCAAGGAACAAAATGGCAGAAAACAAACAAAAGTGATGGAACAGAACGTCGAAAAGTGTCAGACAACACAGCAAACAAGACCAGCTGTCTTTGTCACCTTCGGTAACTCAGCAAAACAAAACAAAACAAAACAAATCTAAGACGCATTTAGTAAGTAAGCAAGTGGATGTGCGCTTTAGAGAAATACAGAGAAACAGAGGATATTTGACATCAAAGAACACTTGAGGCTGCAGCTTGGTTATAGAATAAACTAAGAAGTAGGAAATGTGATATTTATAGGCAATTTCTCTTGTACAGTATATCTGTTCAAAGATGTTTTGTGTTAATGTAGTTGCCTTGAAGCTGCCAAGTGATGAGTTGCTCCAACTATAATCAAAACCAATTTCCCCAAAACAGCACCATCATCACTCATCAGTGACTAACAGCACAGAGGATCATAGCATTTAAGACAAACCTAATGTTGAAGCCCGGGAGAGACTAGTGCTGCGAAAAGATACACAACAAACAGACACATGTTCTGTAAATGGTATCAGTAACACTATCAGGTAACAACAAACTTGATGTGATGTGGCACAATGCTGTTTGGTGACACATTAATATGATTCCAGAGAATTTAAAAGTAGCTCGCCAAAATAATCAAGAAGCGTTCTCATTTGTATCAGCAGAAACTGAGCAGTCCCTGCGTGTGCAATCAGGGGAAATCTGCTCACCTCTAGCAGAAACAGAGTGAGGACAAACAGTAAAACCTTGTTTATTGCAGTTTTTAAACTTCTGAGCAGATGGCTCATCTAACAGAAACAAATGTGGATGGAAACACTGCTGAATGAATGTGGGAGCTTGTTGGTCATACATGCAGCTTTTCAGAACACATGTGCATGCACGTTTCATACAGCATGACTACAGTCCGGACTTTGGAAACCCCCTTTTTCTTTTTCGCATGACATCTGTTCTCAGGCTGAAATAAGCAAGGTTTTACTTTGTCAACAAAAGGAGGGACTTCTGAGTCAAGTGCAAAATGTTAGCCACATGAGAGCACTGCAATAGCAGGCAGGGGTGTGTTCAAAGTATAGAAAAAAACAACTCAATCATGTCTATGTTAGCTGATCTGTGTTATATTATCCTTTTGCAGCCAACACCTGTTCGCTCTAGAGAAAAAGCTGCAACATTAAATCCAGTTTGGGTGTGATTATAAGACAGTAACCTTCCTACAATGTCAATATAGACACAGGCAAAGGAAATGATCTGTGCAGGAAAAGAAGACCTATAAACTGAACTGCACCATAGGGAGCAGTTAGAGAGCAGCGAGAGTATGTGAAGGAAAACTCTTTAAATTGCTCCTCTGAAACACAAAAAAATCCATTTGAAATTTGGTTCCATTTTTTTGACAAAAGTAAACAAAAGAAGAAGGATAAGAGAGTTTTTTTTTTCTGTGTATTGTTTCTTTAGAGACATAATGGTGCAGAAGTGAAGATGCTGTAGCAGCCAGTGCCACTGCCTGAAGACAAACAGTAAATCCTGAGGGTGGGCTTCAAGACACTTCCTGGTTTCAGGAACTGAACCTCTGGCCAAACCAGTGTCAGGCCCCATCCAAAGCAGAGAAGCTCCTCCCCAAACCCCTTTCCCCTCCCCCAAGACACAATCTGTAGGAAAACTGTATAGAAAACAAAGCACAACACATAGCATTCTTCTCTACACCTCACCTCTCTTTTCTCTGTTGATCCTGTAAACCAATGAGAGAAAACGCTCAAGGAATCGAGTCCATTTCCTCCTTATACATCACCCTACACCAAAACCTCACCAAAACCACGACCTGAAGCCTCCATCTGCCATTACAGACTCCAGTTCGGTGGTTAAAACCAAAGAGAGAGCACCGGAGAGGAGTAACTACACCAACATCCCATTGTTTTGAGAACAAAAAAAAGCTCCTGTGAACCTCCGTGGGAAATTGACAGCAAGAAATAAAAAATATCAATAATAAAATAAAATAATTACAAAGTAAAAACGTCAGAGTTCTAGTTTCACCAGCATTAAAGAAAGTAAAAGAACAGAAAGAATTCACTCGTCATTTGCATCTGGAACCATCAATGAAAAAACACTGAGGTATGTAGTGTGGATGGAAAGCCTCTTCATCGCTTTTATCCTCATCATGATCATCACCATCCATCCTCCAAATACAGTCAGTTTCCTGTCTACTCAATTATAGTCTACAAGCCCCTCCCCACTGGGTGTGGCTCTTTGTTTTATTGGGGAGGGGTGAGGTGGGGGAGAGGTGTATAGACGTGACTGGCTGCACCTCTTGAGGAGGAGGAGTGAGAGGGATCCATTAATCCATCAAGTTTTGTCTTTCTCCTCAAGTCCATTTCCATCTCTTTATCCAGGTCTCAGAGTCTGTTAGTGTCTCTATCCAATATCCAACTCTTCTCAGGGTCTGTAGTGCCCCCTATGATTGTAGATTGAGGGTGAACTTCCACTGTTGGTTGAGGCTCGGGCTGCAGACCTCCACAGTGAGTCCGCCCATCCTGGCACTGCGGCTGTCCAGACAAAGGTTACTGCCCACGTGACGAAGCTTTGAGTTGGACTCGATCTGCTCCCATTTCTGATGAGAGACACAACAATGTTGTGACATTAACACAACACGTAGTGCGAGAATTATGCAGTAAATGTTGCAAATGTCCTTTGATATTGGTTTTAATTTACTATTGCGAGTGCAACTCCGGTAAACAAGATATTTCCGCCCAACCAAACGAGGTGTTTTTACCTGTCTGCTGTCATTCTCTCGACAGCCTTGTAGTTTGATGAGGGAACCAGCCGTTCTGTCCACCACAGTCAGACACAAGTCCATATGTTTGACTGATTTATCCTTGGTCAGGGCCCACTCCTTTACAAAAATGGATATAAAAACATTAGTGTCATTGAATCCACACCTCTGAACCTATTGGGCTTAGGTAAGTTCTGTGCAAGAAATGATTCAAGTCTTTTTTTCCCTGTCCTAATTTGATGTTTAATTTCACATGACACAGCTACACATTTCTTTCTTCTTCTATTTATTAAACAAAATGTGTATACTTTGTTTTGCCAAAAGCTTTTAAGTCTATTTACTTATGGGATTAACAGGTTACAATAAACACAGGATTGGGATTAGATTTTCAGGCTTGAAATATCAAACATAAAATATTCAAACAAAGGACGTCTTCAGGAGCTTAGTTGATCCAGTACATTAACAAGGAATATTGTTGTTCTATTATGGTTTGTTCTGCGCTGATCGAAAAAACACAACAGCAGCGAGAGATAATAGTGGTGGGTGACTTTAATTCAGTATCTGTGTTATATTATCCTCTACTTTACACTATAACTGACACCCACAGGAAGAATTATTAGTGTCTATCAAGATGGGCAGCCTCAAAACATGTTGCCTACAGCGTCGTATTGTCATTTATACGTCTAATTAAATACAGCGTCTTTGTTAGCCAAAGATGCAGTTAACTTCAAGCTGGATGTGATAAGTTTTACTATATTGTAAAATGACAGGTGCAAAGCAGATGTCTCTAACTCTAAGTGACACCAGCAAGTTTTCACCAGTAATTCTGTTTTTGTAGTAATTGATGAACTGCAGACACAAACACATTGGTACAAGCTTATGCACACACACTCACGTTGGGGCTTCAGTATACATGTTGTAGCTGGACTGACATATAGACTACACATTCTATATAGATACTGTATATAGAAAACATATTTTCCCTTTTTTTTTTACTACAGTCTGTGCAACATTTGACCTTTAATAGTCAAATCCTTTAACATACCCACTGTGCTCTCACCGTCAGTGCCACCCAGGTGTCTTCAGAGTAAGTATTTAACAAGCTGACCTGTGTGTGTTGTCGAAGTAACGCTACCTGGTTTCCTCCAGCGTTGTGGCATTCATAGACGCCCACAACCCCGTCAGCAAAATGACCCAGGGTGTCCAGACAGTTTCCTCCCTGCTGCAAGGCTCCAAACGCTATGTCCTGGTGATCCGGGACTCTGAACACACATGCAGTGTTTTTCTTAAACTGTATATTAACTCTACCATGCTTGTATCAAATTTATATAGTTCTTAAGACTTATAACATAAAACAGTGGAAAGTAACACTAATGAGGACAATAAGAAGGTGAGAGAATCATGTTTTTGTACCATTTGCTTCTGTCAAATAGGGCAATATAACCTATATGTAACTACATCTGAAATGATACATTTTTACATTATCAATCTCATTCATGTGAATGACAAATTGCAAACCTGCCAAGATTTAATAATGTGCTTGAGCCATAATTGCTAGCATGGGTGAGTCATTAGTGTCACTACAGGCATTTGAGAGTCTTATTAAAGTATAAAAACCGAAGTCATACTGCTACTCTTACAACCAAGTCCTGCTACTGAGGCTCAGGTGAGACGCTCTCCTACGTGTAATTTAAGTCTTATTACATAATATTATATGTTGTGGGTCACACTGTGTACCCTATCATATTCCATTAAAAAGCTCTAATTTTCTTACCGTAGTTCAGGGTAGACATTCTCCAGGTACCATTTGAATGGCTTGCAGCTTAATCTCTTCTTCATCTCCAAACGACTCTGGATACTGAGAGAGAGAATTAGAGAGTGGATCACTTGTGGCTTTCAAAATGTTTCCCAACATTGATTGAATTATAGCCCTCCTACTTGGCCAGTCTGTGAGGGCAGATAGTAACGGCCTAGAGCATGTCTGAGGATGAATCCTTTAGGGAAAATAACAGCTTAGGTTGGCACTGGAGGGAGATGCTGAGTGTTCCCACAAGGTCACATAATAAGCATTTTTAACTTTGTTTGGCTATTCTGTAAGTGTGAGAGTACTTATTGATGTTCAGCCTATTCTGAGAAAAGTGTTAATGTGTGAAGCAGCATTCAGCTAGTGCACAAACAAAGTAAAAAAAAACACGATACCAATAATACAGTTAGGCTCCCGAACTGTCACCTGAGATATTACTCAGGATATGTTTCTTCACCAAAGTCATTAAGATTCATCCTCTGGGAACCATGAATGTCTGTACAAATTGCTGAGACATGACTAAAACTGTCCTCTTTAACCAATGTTGTTTGTGTCCGACATGTTCTTTTTCTTTGGCGTATGCTGTCATAATCTACATTCAGCACATCAAATAACATGGTTTAGGATTTTGCAAATTAGGAACTGACTTTTTGCCCTCTTTTAAGCCACATTAACTTCCTCATATCAATAAAACTGGTAACCAACTTATTTTACAGCTGACACGCTGCTAAATGGAAAGCCAATTAATATGACCATTCATGTGGCTGCCTTTGTAATTGTGACGGAACTACATTAGGCTGTCTAACTCCTGTAGAGCTCACAGTTCATGGTACTTACTTTCCATACGGGACGTTTCTAGCTGAGGGCACAGCAGCGTAGTAGAAGTTTTTATACTCATCCATCCAGACCTCTGCTGCTCTCCTCGTGTTCCTGAGAAAGGGGTGAGAGAAGAAAATTAGTAATGTCAGATATGTCCTAAAATATGTCCCGTTCCAGGACGTGTAACCTGTAAATGTGTAGGGAAAGCTGCCTTCATTGCTTTTGTCTTGGACACTGGACAAACAACTGGCTACAGTGCTGCATTTAGCGTTTTTTGTATTCTAGAGAAAATGTTAATTTTTACAAACAAGCCAGGAAACGGCATGCCCCAGACACGATGCATCAACACGGTGAACTTCTGCTCCAGTGAAAGTCTCAGTTTCAACCCCTGAGGGGTAGTTTTGCCTTTATGAGGTTTCTGCTAGCATATGTCAAGACAATTCCAAAGGCAATACTCATTTACTGGACTAAAAACCCCAAAACCATCAACACTGGCATCTGACAGGGTTTCTGAGAGTTTAAACAACTTAAATTGACTTTTCAGACTTTTTCAAAAGACAATTACGAATCCATTTAATGCCTGTACAGGCAAAAAAGTACAAAGGATATGAAGAAAATTTGTTATTGGTTCCATGTAATTTTCTATAGTTGTTACAGCAATCAATCAATACACATGTCTCAGTATTTTCCACTATAACTATTTTTGTTGTGAAACTAGCTGAGCTTTATTCCGAAATCTGTATTTCATCCTGATCCACCTGCACTCCAGCAACAGAGACAATGCACACTACAGGGAACTTAATATAAGACCAAGAGGGGATTTTCTTTATTGTGTGTTGGCCCTGTCTCCACATGTCCAATATACGTAACTTGGATATTTGGGAAGTTCTGTCTCCCAGAACAATTATAAAGTCATCCAAGCAGACAAAACAGGTGCTGTCTCGTAGCTCCCCAGGGTCACCGGCAGCAGACACAGAGAGGGTGTCTGGGGCTTTATTCAGACTGAAGGGCGAGACACTGAAGCAGCCTCAAAGCACCGTTGCAGCTGTTCTGCCCTGTGAGTGTCCATTGTTGAGGGTGATACATGAGAACACGACTGGGCCCATCGATTAATAAATGATATCTTTAATTGTTGGAAAGTGTTATGCAACTACTTTTGAGACTGTGTTCAGTTTTATGTAACTGACAAAAACATACTGGGAATGTGGCCCACAGGAGGCGTCCAAGCTGAGTCACATTCAGAGCCAACGTGTTATAATAAGCTCTGAAACTGTTTGATCTAATGTTGAAGTTCATACATGTCCACTGGAGTCTGCTGGAGTCGGGTCTTTTTGGGTCTATTCACAGTTTATAGGTATTATTAGGATGTCAGTGCTTTTTCCTTTTTGCTGTTGGATTAATTTCTTTATCTTGAGCATCTCTGTTGGTCACAGTCATCATTTACTGCAGCTGGCAGACTGGATTTGCCATCGAAGAGGCATCAAAATTATCACTCTGCATCTCAGAATGATTGTTTCAGACACCAGCTTAAGCTAGTGATGAGCTGATGTACCAAGATACTCCACATGTCTATTATACGCTTAAGAAACCACAGCCACTTTAAGTTCCCTGTTATCGGTTTGTTGAAGTTTATAATCAGGGCCATGAGGGTTTGTTGGGCTCGTTTCCAGGGGTGGTTACTTGTGGTTGTGTTATCTTTCCATGTATCATGTTTCCCATTACTGATGTTCAGTGATTATGTTGTCACATGTATCAGGGCTGTATCATAAACAGACCAGCTATTTTTCAGAAGCATTCTTTTTTAAATCTCACTACAATTTTCCCTGTGATTACTTTTTAATTGTTTTTTAATTGTTAGTGCTTGGTTTTAATTATCTAGCACTGGTTACATTTTTAAAGCTGTATTAAAACTCAATAATGTTCCAGTGTTTACAATAGCACTTGATACAAGTGGCCAGGGTACCAAAATCAGAAATACCTTCAGTATAAAGAGTGGTAATAGTTTTTTCCATTTGGGTTGATTACTTTACCTCCATACAACAACAAAAATCATGATTACAAAATATTCCAAACAAGAACTATATCAACGCAGTGATGTTGGATTAGATGTCCCATCTGGGGGTTATGGTTATCACAATATCATGGTACAGCTTAAATGTTAAGAAAAGATCCATTAAGTAGCTGTTCTGGAGCTTTCGATCATATCACATGATGTTTAAGACCTACCTCACGGCCACCAAATTCCAACCCACACACACACACACTGTAATCAGAACTTAGTGGCTAATCAAAGGGACGCACAAGATATCCAGTATAGATTAAACAAAGGTAGGAATGTTATGTGCATGAATGGAAAATATTGTTCTTTTGTAATGAATGTGATGGGTGGAGCCTGGACAGTTAATGAGTGTTCAGCCATCTTGGTGTGTGTGTGTGTGTTACCGTGCAAACACAGTCCCACTGCCCCCAGGGAAGGTGTATGGATGCTGCTTTCTGAAGACATGGCCGACTCTGCTGCAGGGGATGATCTCCAGACTACCACCACACTGCCACACACGAAATGAGATCTCTGAAACACACACACACACACACACACACACACACACACACACACACACACACACACACACACACACACACACACACACACACACACACACACACACACACACACACACACACACACACACACACACACACACACACACACACACAGGTCATAAGACTTGTTCTTTCTCCCATTTGTTCCAACAAACTGTTCCTATAAAAATGTCTCAGTTAATTATGAGCAGTATGTAAGAAGTGGTGAAATTGAACTCTGGACATCGTTTGCACCTCATAAATGTTTCAGTGTGTCGATATTGTCAGGTTCCTGCCTGTGTCTAAATGAGCACACATAAACCAGTATCTTAAGTATCAATCCAGTTCTGAATCACTGTGCCGTCATGAGAGAAGTATGAATCATTCTGTTTATTCTCAGCGATTTCCCAACTGCATTCAGACAAAAGCAACAGCTGTTATTATATCACCGCGCTGTTTGCAAACGATTTCTATTGTGTACACTACGGTTATTTTCCCTCAGTACAGACTATAATCATTATCACATTAACACTGTCATTTTCTAAGATCAACGGTAGTCTGGAGGACTGTTTTACCCAGATATGACCACCAAATTATTGAAGTATTTTCTCTTTTTTTAATCACGTTCTTGGCATGGAAACCTTAGATGAGCTCATGAGGATCACAGCGTGAGACACGCTACTTTAGTATCTCAAGAGAGAGAGAGTGCAGATTTATTATGGAAATAAATTACAAACGTGAACCTGCTTAGGACTTAAAGGAATAGTTCAACATTTTGTGAAATATCCACCTTTGCTTTCTTGCTGAGAGTCAGATAGGAAGATTGATACCACCCACCAACCAGTAGATGTTAGTTTAGCTTAGTATAAAGACTGGAAAAAGGAGCAGCTAGCCCGACTCTGTCCAAAGTCCACTTACCAGCCCCCAACAAAGAAAGAGTCCAGTACATTACCCCAAAAACATGTTAATTACTGAGCTTTGGAGGTGCTGGTAGGCAGATTTTGAGTCCTTGTGCTAAGCTAACTGGCTGCAGCTTCATATTAGCATTAGAGACATAAGAGCGCTGGTATCAATATCATCCAACTCTCACAAGAAAAAGAATAAATGCATTTTCCAAAAAAAGTATTTCTTTAACGCCTCTAGAGAAACCTGACAGGTTTGTCACCTTTAGAGGCTGATAGTAAGGGGATGAGACAGTTGGGTGCAACCCATTACAGCAGCAAAGTGTACTGACAGTAAATGTTGACAGTATTTTTAGTTTATTTTCTCTATCTGTCACTTTACTCTGCTGTTTACTGTTAATCACACTATTTTTAATTGTGTTCCTCTGACATCCATTACAGGGTCATATGTCATCTGCTAACCACCATCATCTGTCTGCTGTGATTCCACTGACTTTATGCTGCACTGTGACTGAATTTACATTTGCACCGTAGCTGCACTCACCCAGGTTTTCTCCTCCCCATACATCCATCATCATGTCATACTTTCCCAGCAGCTCAAAATATTCCTTATCCATGACAAATAGACCTCCTGCTATCATTGGAGTCCTGTAGGGGCAGAGAGAGAAAGAGGGCAGGAGGATGGAGGGAGGAAAAGAGTGAGATTAGTAGTCGGTATAATCTGGCAAACAAAAGTGTGTCAGTCGTGTATGAGCCCTTGAGTGGATGTGTGAGAGTGGTTTTGTCTCAAAGTGTGCCCATCTTACTTTATGGGGGCGATGGGGTTGCCTTGTCTGGCTCGTCTCTGATCCAGAGTCATGTAGTCCCATTTAAACACCAAATTCCAGTCAAAACCTACAGACATAAAACCACAGGGGATAAAAGAACAAACACCATACTGGCCATTAGCTGGGATTAAAAACTAGTCTGTATGTGTTCATGTGTCAGCAGAAAGTACAACAATTTCACCCTATATGCTAATACTAGAAAGCCTAGGATGAGATAGTATTGGAAACCCAACTCAGAGAAGTGATACTCAATATATATGTAGCAAATAAATAAACTTAGTTTTGTACAAATAAGAAACGATACAAGACGTGTAAACGGATGTCAGTCAGCCAAATTTTAAACAATACATTTCATCCAAATCCTGAAGGAAATATCTGTCTCTTTAGCTGATAGTTTCTAACTGTGTCTGTGCTGAGCAGGTATAGTACAGTGGGTATTTAGAGCCTTTTCACACAATGCAGTGACAGGTGATAATTCATCTGATTCATTGTGATATAAGCATATTGATTATCAGTTCAGGGATTGTAGAAAATGCACTACCATGTATTATACATTAATGTGCACATAATGTAGTCACTTTATCAGTATGAATGCAGCAGTGCAGTGTGGATGACATTGTTTATGACCAGTAAGCTGATAGACTAAACATGCTAGGTATATACTTGGCAGAAGAGCTGGCCTTGTGTGTGAGAAATAGCAACAGCGGCCTGGACATCCAACGTGCGTTCATGTACCTCTCTACTTGTGTACTGTACCTCCTTTCAGATCGGCCGAGGCTCCTACATACTGGAAATTGTCCATGTTGATGACATCAATGATAGGAGAAACTACTCTGGTCTTGTCCTGAGAGGGAAGGACAGAGACAAAATAATTAATTAGGACTTTTCAGTTCCATATAAAGCTCAGAAAGGGAATAACAGGAAATCTGTCTCATTAGTCAGTATGTACTACAAGTCCTGTCAAATAAAAAGACCAAAATAAGCAAAGCTACAGACGTAGAAGTAAATATTCCCCTCAACAACAAATGATTCATATGTTTAGTTTATCTTCTATATTTAGTTTATCACTGTGTTTATGAAGCTCTGTCCCCTCCACACCAAATCAAACCCTGTGCTGAAAACCCACAGAGCCACATCATACAGTAGTTTGAAGAGAGCATTGCTGAAGTGGCCTGAATGACAGTAACAGAAACAAGCTTCCAGGTACTGAGTGAGTTTGTTTATTTTGAGCTGAGACATTTTGGTATGACACACGAGGTTTTCACCCACACAGATTGCATTTTTTTTCCTTCTTTCTTTCTTTCTTGCACTGAGTGATTTATTATTCAGTGTAACTACAGTGAAGAAAAGCAAAGTCAATTTTTTGACAGCGTAATGTTTTAGATTTGGCTCCAGGCATTTATGAACTTGGGAGGATCAAATGAAGAATCAGACCATTTTCAGTCACATTAGATACATTTGAAGAATGACATCCATTTTACACACACTTGTCCCACTTTAGAATCAAGATTACATTTAATGAAGAAGTTCTCAAGCGATTACTAAAAGACTTCACTTTAAATATCACCACACTGTTAAATCTATGACGGGGTTCAGCTTATGTTTATTCTGTTTCCTTACAAAAGAAGGAATTAAATAAACTGTAAGAACAGTTCTGACACTGGGAACACAACTGGGAATAAAAGTTCTAATCTACTGAATTACTGGTTTACATATTTACTGACGTTAATATTACATTTTAAAACAAATAACCTTTTTTAACCATGTCATATCAGAAATAGTCCAAACATTCCTGTGTTATTGAAGCCATGTTATGCACATGTTTTTTCACATTCATTCTGTGAATTAAGGGTTTATTTCAACCAAACCAGCATTGGCGATTGTTGGTAACACTGTGGAAAGACTAACTGGGATGGTTTTAGTGAGTTTTATTCGGTCTCTGTTCCATTATTTTGGTCTAAGATTGAGAAAAGTGTCTCGCTTAACATTACAAAAAATGTCTGTTATTCTTCATTCGTTTCCTGGTTGGACTTTCTTTGTGTTGTGTCTTCATGTTCATTAGGATGCGTGCATAAGAAAAATAATATAATGTATAAAGGTGTGTCTGTATGTATGTATGCATGGGTGCATGTGTACCTCAGCCACTCTCTCCAGCAGCGGCTCTAGCCAGTGGTCATTACATTCACAGTGAGAGTCCAAGAATGTGAGGACTGGTGCTGTCGCGGCATCTGCACCACGAACCCTTGAACGCATCAGTCCTGAGGGGAACATCAGTAACAAAAGAACAAGAAATCAAAACACATATTTTTCCTACCAAACACAATGATTTCACCCCGAGCCACACACATAAGTGCGCTGGGAATAAAAAATGCAATAAAACATTCTTCTCCTCTTCTTTTAATTACCTTCTCTGCGGTCATTTCTCAACACACGCACTTTTTCAATCTTCCCCAGCAGCGCGCCGTCCTCCGCTGAAACACACACAAAGCAGGTGCCACACAGATGATACACACATCACATTTACACATGGATCTTTTTATGTTTGTTTGTGTGCATTACTCACGGTTATCACTGTAGTCGTCCACCAGAATGATCTCTTTGACCAAGTAAGGAGGACTTTTCTTCAGGACACTAAACAGAGAGTGAGAGAGATGGGGGTGGGGGATTTATAGGAAGATAAAAGGTATTTAAAAATAAGAGAATTTCTGCCTACAAATCAAAATAGAGAAATTCTTGAAGTGGACAGCACACACACCATTAACCTACCTGACCACAGTCCTCAGCAGAGCGGAGCGAGCTTCATTGTGGAAAGTGATGACGACGCTGGAGGCCGGCAGTTCTGACTTCCATTGTTTATGTCTGCAACTACAAACACAAAGAAACCACACAAATTAGAAATAAAAAATACAAAAACATAAATGCCTACATGTGCACAAATGCACACAAGCACACTCCTACGCACATGAGCACACAGTTGAATGTGTGAGCAAAGCTGCGAGCTGGAACCGCTCCCTGAACAGATTCAGAACACATGAACAGAATAAATAGGATTCCACACACACACACACACACACACACACACACACACACACACACACACACACACACACACACACACTCTGCTGAAGCTGGGATTGACGGTGGGTTTTGCAGACAGCAGGGCAAAAATCCCCTGAGATTGTGTATATGTGTGTGTGTCCAATAGAGACAAATCCTTACCCCGATTTAAAAGTGAAGAACGTTGGTGATAGGACCCTACATGAGACAAGGAGCCAAGGAGAGGATGAAGAGGAGAAAATGGGCCATTCATCACTGTGGGAAAACCTCTTTTCCTACCACAACCAATCTGTTAAATGCTGGTGTAACGCCCTGTACACACTCTTATACATGATCATGAACAGACATGTGTGTCTGTGTCTGTGTCTGTGTGTGTGTCTGTGTGTGTGTGTGAGTGAGTGAGTGAGTGAGTGAGTGAGTGTGTGTGTATATATATATACACACACTCTATGTACTGTACAGACACTAGATGGTCAAAAGTCAGTGGACACCTGACCATCACACCTATATAGGCTTATTGGACATCTCATTCTAAAACCATGGGACCCTTCGTCACACAGTCATGCTGCAACAGCAAAGGGCCTTTCCCTAACTGTTACCACAAAGATGGAAGCACCCAACTTGCTAAAATGTCTTTGTATCCTGTAACATTAGGAACACCTTCAATGCAACTAAGGGGCCTAACCTAAAAGACAGCCCCAGACAATTACCCCTCTTCCATTAAACTAGAAACAGTAGGCACTATGCATTCCAGTAGGAAGCATTCTCAGATTCGTCCACCCGACTACCAGATGCAGTGTTATTCATCCCTCATTTTCACTGCTCCAGAGTCCAGTTGCGGTGAGCTTTACACCACTCCAGTCGATGCTTGGCACTGCACATGGTGATATAAGGCTTGCATGCAGCTGCTTGGCACTGGAAACCCATTCGCACAGGTTGTGCGGCTGGTGTTGTGTCCGGATTCACTGAGCCCTTTATGACCCATTCTAACTTCTACATGTTTGTCTGTGGCGATTTGATGGCTATGTGCTGGATTTTATGCAACAATGTAATAACAATGTAATGTGTGTGGCTTAAACATCCTGAACTCAGTCTTTTGGCCGTATACATATGTGTGGAGGTTAAAATAAAAGAATCCAAAATCCTGTTTCACCTATAACTTAAAAGACTCTTATAACAGAGAGGTTTTCTCGAGGTTGGTCTTAGAAGCTACGACACATACCAGATATAAAGTGTGTACTGTTTAAAAAGTACATTACATACTGAGTACATAGTACGCACTGTCTTTGAACGGTCTGTGTGCATGATGTGTGCAGTCCTTTTGTCCCCGTACCACGTCTGTCAGAGCAGTATTGGCTTTAAAGGCCAGTCAATATGCAGCTGCATCAATCTTGAATTGACATATTCCTGTACATTTCTTGGACTGGCAAAAGGCCCAATTAGTGGGGGTCTGTGTGTGTTTTAAAGCTGTAGAATAAATATACAAGTTCTTTTGATCTTGTGTTGAAAGCACTGATGAAGAGGCCCTGGCCTTAAAAAATCCAACTAGGCTCTTTTTTTCTGGACAACCTTCACAATCAGTGCTGCTGCACGCTGTGCAAATGACACATCACTACCAGATCAATAGAGAGACACATCCCTGCTCTGTTAGTGGGCTAATGGTTCTAGCTGTCTAAGTTAGGTCAATATATCAGTGAGGCCAGACCACTGCCTTTATAAAAATCTTTGAATCACACTGTGCATGTATACAGACGCTGCAGGTACAAAATCACAGAGCGAATACGATGACATACTGTTGTACTTTTAAGACTTTAATTCTGTATCTCAAGTTGAATCTTAAGTCCAAATTAATTTTGATGAAGGCAATAAGATTTTAGGTCAAATGTGTTTTTTCTGCTGTGAAGAAAGGCAGACCGTCTATTCAAGACTTATACGACAGGTTTGGACCACTTGTGAATTTCATTTGAGTACCAGAAAATTGTTGAAATCTCTGATACAAATCTGTTTGGACGAGCGGTTCTTGCACAAAGCCCATTGTGTTTGTTAAATGGACAATAAAAGCATGTTCAGCATCCAATCAAAAATGTTAATAAATATATTACAATATACTATGAAACTCTGAGCAGAAATGAAACTGCTACTCATCCTCCTGCTGACAGTCTAGTGTTTGTTTGCCAAAGACAAAAAAAAAGTATTGTTAAAAAAAAAAGCTAATTAAAGTAATTACTTGAAAATATCCCTGAGATAAAACACTCAAATTGAGGCACAGCCAGAAAACAACAGCAAATTACTGTGACAACGTGTTCCTCTTACTCTGGGTAGGAAAATAAATCTCTCTGTTCTCTGAGAACAGGTTCAGGGTGTTTTGTAGGTTTGCTCAACAGGTGGGTCCACAATCTCTCACTTGAAAACATTCAATAAGGAAGCAAGATGACTAACATATAATAATATTCTGACAAAAATGGATCCAACAGATATTGTTCCATGATTTATTTTTGTCTCATCGCTCATTTAACAAGCAGAACAATCGACAATGTCATTAGCAGAGGTTTGTGTTATGAAAGGGGCAGACAGTGAACAGTGCGTGTCTGCTATGCTGCGACTTCCTGGTTTCATCTGATAGACCACAATAGAGGGAGTTTCCAAGAGATCTTATCCAGTCTACTACCAATTAGTCAAATAGACAGACAGCAAAGGACAGTATGTACGCGCACAATGCCTGCAATTACACATGCAACCCTAAAGGTTAGGAGGGACAGAATGGTGGTCCAATCATATCAGCTGTGTGTGTGTGTGTGTGTGTGTGTGTGTGTCTCTGTGTGTGTGTGTGTGTGTCTCTGTGTGTGTGTGTGTGTGTGTCTCTGTGTGTGTGTGTGTGTGTGTGTGTGTGTGTGTGTGTGTGTGTGTGTGTGTGTGTGTGTGTGTGTGTGTGTGTGTGTGTGTGTGTGTGTGTGTGTGTGTGCGCGCGTGTGTTAGTATACATACTGGTCATGTCTTGTATCGGGCACAGCTCTGTCCATACGGAGTTTGTCGCTCTCCACCTGGTTGAACTTGTTTCTGGCATAAGGATCCTGACCCGGTCGGACCACCGTAGCTCCGACGTACAGATCCTGGTCAAAATCCTGCCAGCGCACCTTACCTGGACACACACACATACATACATATTAAAGCACACAGTCGGGCCAATAGAAGTTTGCAGTATACACTATTTCAGTGTTGTCTTGTGTGTGTTTTTCAAGCTGAGGTTATTAGGCTTGAAAACCTTCAGAAATTATATATTTTCTGAATTTACAATAGCCCCTGTGAGAAGTACATGGTATTTTAAGACACACTTCTGTACCATGTTAACAGGAGTGATTTATACATCTTATAAAACATAATGATTTCATTTCAGCCTCTATCTATTAAATTATGATGTGGATAACGAGTAAACATGGTGGGAAAAAAAAAGCCAATTTCTTTTATAGTTTCAGCTTTAATATAAACACTGACGAACCAGAGGACAAATTGTTTGTGTGTTTAATGAGAAACATATTCTCAATACGACTCTCTCAGAAATAAGTGTTAAATAAACAGAACATATCCAAAAATAAAAGCTGCCACCAAAGATGAAGTTTAAACCTTCACAAAGACTGGAAATGTGTCTCAGGAATGAATGGGATTATACATCAGTGGGAATACGAAATGTAGGCAGCAGGCTGGCTGATGCAAGAATCCTTCACGACTGACAGGAAGGAAACCTCGCTGCTTCAAGCTGCTGCTTGACAAGGCGGCAACATGGCACCGAGGAAAGCTGACATGAGATTTATGCTGCTTATATGCGAAACTATGCAGAACAGAATTCAAAACAACAAACTAAGACAAGGCGAGACTAGTTTAGAGAAGCTAAAAAACACAAAAGATCATTTATTATGCACTGCACAGAGGAAGGAAAAACAATCCTGCTGAATTTAGTAATTCACTGCAGCCTAAAATAAAAAAAAACTACAAAATATTAAACATTATCAAACCAACACACACTCAGAGCACGCTGTGTCTGTCTGACCAGATTACCGAGATCATAGCGCGCTAAACAGAGAAAGTTGTCATGTTTAATTTCACAGTTTATCACTGACTACTGACGCACAGACACACACGAATAATAATGCAACTAATTAGCCGGGTGCAGCTGCTATGCTAATGACTTGTGTTAAGCATATGGCAGCGTGAGATTACACTATCGCTCAGTATGGATGAGTGTATGCATGACAGACAGACAGAGAGACAGAGAGAAACTGAGCCTGACGTGTGTGTGTGTGTGTGTGTGTGTGTGTGTGTGTGTGTGTGTGTGTGTGTGTGTGTGTGTGTGTGTGTGCGCATGTGTCTACCCTGACAGTATGTGAAAGTGTCTGGCATGCTAATTAGCTAAAGCTCGCAATGATCTGCCTGTGACTGTTTAACGGTGCCTCCGAGACACTGCTGCATGTGCCAGAGTGTGTGATGTCCTTGCTGATATCTCTGTTTAGTGGCAGCAAGTAATTAATGTAGTAAAATTAATGTTTCAACTTCTCACTTTGCGAGTCTTCAGCTCAGGCTATGAAAATCTTCTATGTTACAGTCTCTCTCCGGTTTTCTTGGCACGCCGCGCTCGCTTAAAGCAGATATAACTGTCCGCTTTCTCACTGGGATTATTCATTCAGTTGACGTTTTTCCAATACTCTCTAGCAGGTACATCTATCGTGACTGAGCTGGTGGTTTGTTGCTTCAGACCCTGAGGGCCAATGGTGTGGTCTGTTGGTTTGAACAGTTTTCACTCTCCCTCAACCTCTCGTCACTGAGCTGTCTCCACCCACAGCTGCTGACTGGTTGTTTTTGTTTGTTGCAACATTTTCTGGAAATCCCTTGACGCTGTCGTGTTTCCAACTGATGGTAACTGGCAGGCAGGACTCGCACTCGGAACCGTTCCCTCGATCTGTACTGAACCGTGAACTCTCCGCCTACCAGCTCAGAGAACGCCAACACAGTGCACACAGTCTTATTTGATTCACTGCCTGAAAATGATCCAAATAAAAGCTTAAAGAGGAACACCAGTATGTTTCACACCCAGCATCACTGATGGATGTGTTAAAATGTGGTGTGCTTTGTTGCAACCTGCAACCACACCCAGCAGTGATGTCATGTGGGCCTGGAGTACATTTCTACATCACTGCAGGAAAAGTAAAGAATCTGAAGTTGTGCAAGTTACTCTTTAAAGTGGCTGCATTTCAACTTAACTGCAATACAGAAAAGGATCTTAACACAAGAAGAACTCAGGTGATTAATAATCAGTCAGTCAACTGACAGGAAATTACTCAGCAAGTATTCTGATAGTTGATTAATCTTTAATTCTTCCATTATCTTCTTCCCATTTCTCAAATGTGAGAATTTACTGCCTTTTTATTTTTTGCATCATTGTAAACTAAATATCTTTGAGTTATGGACTGAGCTTTAAAGGGGCCGGTATACTCCTTCAGAAGTGCTTGTCAGATATAGCTTTGTGTCCTTCAGTCACTAACAGGTGGTGGTGTATGGTGGTAGAAGACCATCCGTATGATTTCAAACTTCATTTGCTGATGAAGATGAGATAAGGCTGAAAAAGGTGGTAGGTGTGTGTGAGTTTAACATACAGAGTAAACCGTGTTCTGTCAACATGCCCTGAATAAAAATTACATTTTTAAGAGAGCCTCAAAGAGGAAAGCACAAAAACAAGTTCCTCAAATATTCATTGTAATGTTTTCGCACTACAGTACCACAAACTCACAGTTTTGTGACTATTTAAATTAGAAAGAGTATTCATACAGCTCCGTACAATCTGAACTCTTACTCCTTCACTCTCCTTCCTATTCTTTCATTACTTTATTCTCCATCTTTTATTACCCTTTACTCGCCCGGTCTCCTCCTGCTCTTAGAATCAGAATGAGTTTTATTTATAAGTCGGTTTTCACATACAAAGAAGTTGCCTTGGCACATTGGTAAATAAGAATTAAACATAAAACTTAAAGAAAAAAAAAAGAGGACTGCAAATTAAGAAGCAGAAATAAAATACATAGAAAAATCAACATTAATGTATGAAAAAATATTATAAAGACAGTAATAGACAATATGTACAATTACAATATCACTCTTATTTTAAATGGAAGCTGTTTGTGCAGAAATATGCAGAATATTGTCCTGGGAATTTGTAAAATATTGCAGTATTAAGTATAAGAATATCTATAAAATTATATTTATAATTACATAATATTTATATATATTTATATTTATATAACTTCAGTCTGTAACGTTAATGTAACATGTAGAGGGTGGGTGGTGGGTATAAGAATCAGTGTCAGTGGGGGTCCCAGGTCTTGTTGATGAGGCCAGCTGCAGATGAGAAAAAGCTTTCCTCTTTCCTCCTTCTTGTGTGTGTGTGTGTGTGTGTGTGTGTGTGTGTGTGTGTGTGTGTGTGTGTGTGTGTGTGTGTGTGTGTGTGTGTGTGTGTGAGAGAGAGAGAGAGAGAGAGAGATATCGTGATACGCCACCATCGCTATAATCGTGTAAAGTCACCCTGAAGTTGAAATGCCCCCACTTCAACATTCAAATTGGATTCCATTTCCAATGCTGGATCAGATAAGAGAGTGTGTGTTCAGCTTTTGCAGGTCACGGGCTTGTGAAGGAGGGGCGGCTGCTTTGAGTCAGGCTGAGGATGAGAGCTGAATGAGAAATCGCTGCTCACATACTCCTTCTGCTGCGACTTTTCTGCTCTGCTCTACACTGCTGGACTCTGAAACAATGTTTCTTAAAGCCTGGGTGGAGACGCATAGCTGGGTTTTGCGGCGAGACTAAAATGGATCTGTGAATTATTTTGGATAAATTTGCAGCTCCAGCATTTGAAGATTGTATCACATGGGTTGCTGTATTAAATTCTCTTCTCTTTCTCTGTGGTTATTCAAACATGGTAAGGTTAAGGAGACTGACGATGTTCATGTTCTGCTGGTAATAAAACTCTAAAACTATGCCACCGTGTTACCACACTTCGAAAGGGAAATGGTTTTGGTTGTGGGAACATATGGAATACTTTCTGGATACATGACTGTGGTGTAGTGTCTGCCGTGCACATGCTTTACAGCTGGGATTTATCTGTCCAACCTTTTTCTTTAGTACAATTACAACTGGGACTGCACAATATGGTTTTAAAAACATGTACATATATTGTGATTACCATGTAATTCACAATTAGTGGGAATGATAATTTTTACTGAAAAAATATATTAAAATAATGGTGATAAGACATTTGTTGGGGTCGATCTCAGCAGTTCTACAGTACTTCATTATATCACCTATAGTAGCTTCAGCAAAATGTTGCTTTTGCAATTTGGATATTGCACTTATCCATACTGTGATTTTGATAATATTTGATAATATATATTTGGATTAAATAATTGTTAACCACTAACAATGAGCTACTGATCTGACCCAGATCCTGGTCAAATATTGGTCAAAATTTCCTTCTCTTTAAGCACTCAAATAAAAGAAATTATTAATAGCTTCTTATCTATCCTTGGCCTTAATGTCATCATATAGTCACGTAATGTAGGCACAGTGTGGTTGTAGTGCATGATGGGTAGTGAAGTCTCCTACCTGGTGGCAGAGTCTCTGGGTTGTGAGGCTTGTCGTCAGAGACGTGAGGTTTCTCTGAATCATTGGAGGCCCAATCATCCTGAAGCAAACACAAACAAACAGTTAGACATACACATTTGTATCAATACACACAATTTAATCTGAAAGTAAACAGGAGTGCAGCTGAGAGATGTCTTATTCAAAACAGAGGAGTTGGTAATTCTTTAAAAGATATTAATTAGAGCATTTCGGCTGAAAAATGTACAAAACTGTGGAAATGTGAAATCAACTAATCTTTTTGTCATTAACTTAATGTTAATATACATGTGTCACTTGACTTGAACTCTTTTGACCTTCTTTTTTTCATAATTTGAAAAAAACAAACATGATAGAAACTTGTTTCTTTTTGTGATAATAATGATGACCTCCTTATAATATATAAAATGAGAGAGTAAAGACAATGTGTGAGCTCACAAAGCATTAGATGCATGACTCATACAAGACAAATACAGTTCCGCCTGCTCCTACATTTGAGCACTTCCTTGAGTAAAACCATAAACGGATGAGTTGTTCATAATAATAGTGTTTTACAACTGTTATTTTTGAACTAGAGTCTGCCTCAGCAGCTAATTAAAAAGATTTGAGGTTGAGCCACTCAGGTTAAGTCCATTTAGACAACAGGATATCCAGCCAACGTCATTTTCTACTGGCCCATGGTCAAAGCTGTCTTCTAAGTAAAGCACTCAGTGAATCAATCGAGTCATACAAGTTTCATAGCATTCAGTAATCTATAATCAACTTCATCAGTGCATTGAGACCACAGTCATATAAATGCCCACAGATGGCCGAGCCATCCCTCCTTGTGTCCATCTGTGTTACCATTAAAACCCGCTGGATCAATACACTGGCAGGCACTGCAATTAACGCCATTCATTCCCTGTCCAGACCTTTGCCCTTGACTTTTAGAAAACTATTGTCCAACTGTCTTATTTGCTCTGTAGCTCCCGCTCACCTTCAGCCTCTCCAAAATGCTTTATTGATCTGTTTTCATTACTGCCTTCGGACAACCAATGACAGTGTGACAAAAGAGACCACCACAAATAGTGTTTAATAGTTTATTTCTACCCCTGAGTGAACTGGGAAAGAGTAAAAAAAAATGTATCTATGTTTTTTAGGCCTTTGCATTTCTAGTAGCATAATAACTGCTGTTATTTTCTATGACTCTCACCCATCGTTTCACTCTGTGCCAGCCTTTCCATTAATTTGATGTGGACAGTGCGTCAATCTGTTCTAAAACTATGCCCATTCTTCAGTGACTGAAAAAGAGATCAAGCACCCACAACAACTACTATGAAAAAAATCCTACATAAAATCAATTTCTGTAAGTGTTCACGACAGCTGTGTGTGTGCGCAGTCAGATGGTAATGCTCAGTGTAGGATGAAAACCAAAGCTGGCAGTATGCTTGCTGCAGAAATACAGTTTGACAGGTTCTGAGGGAAAATGGGACACATTTTCAGGTAAAATAAAGCTCCAAATTTGTGTCAGACTTTTGCTTCGCTGGGCTGTTTTGTCTGACATTTTACAATCAACTCTTCAAGCTAAAATGTTTCAAAGCTTTGCATTTTGAGCTGGTTACAGAATCTTTCACCTGTACGGCTGATCAAGTAGATTATTAAACAGAGGAGCCTCTTCACTTCAATTTCCATGTGTTTTCACTGCTTTTGAGTGTCAGTAATGCAGTGAGTAGACCAACACTCGCACTTGAGGTGGGATTTTGCCAAATTTTGTAGGCTGCAGTAAGTATAATATCACTGATTACAAGACCTTTATGCACTGACAGACATTAATGAAGTCAGCCACGGTGTGTATTTCTGTCTCTCAGATAAAGTTGATCGTGTCCGCCATGTTCCCTGGTCACTTCTGAGTCACATGAAGCAAATGTTCAGCTGCCTCTGTACATGCCTGGCTGCCTCACACTTCACAGTTCAGGGCCTCAGTTACATCTACTCAATCAAACTCTGAGTCTCATGAGAAAAGACCTCCTGAAAGCATCTGTGCTCATGTTCAGCAACAAATGTGCAAAGTAGAACCGGGAAAGTGCACAAAGACATTGAGAATGGTCAGGGGATCTGTACCTTAATACTGCACACACACAGCACCACTTCCATAAGCACTTTATACATGATGCCTGCAGCCTTGATAGAAGACAGTCATGACTGGAAAGCCCTAAAAAATTCATGGTTTCATCATCTGACTTTTCAATGAGGCCAAAAGCGGTGTTAAATATATGATCCAGACATGTGGAACAAAATTCCCATCACATCCTACAGATCTTTCTGGGATTTTTAAGGTTACGGCCACACGTGCGCAAATGTGCTTCTTTACTTTGCACAGAGAGTTCAACTTTGGTGAATTCTGACCGATAAAGTGGCAGCCTCCATCAACCAATAGCAAAGAAGTGTGAGTGGTTGCCTGTGTGCGTTCATCTCGGCAGACAATAGTCACTCACATGCATTAACACACGTGTGACCATTGTCATAGCAAGTGAGTCATAGCTATAAAGCACAGGTGTAACTAAGTTAGTAAGCCAGTAAGTTATGCCAGAGAGTCATCATGTCACAGCAGGACAATGTGTTACTAATTAGATTTACAAAGTGTTCCAGTAAGACATGAGCATCCCAGCATGAAAAACACAAGGACCCTGAAAACTGAAGCAGCTAAATGGAATTCAGCCATTGTTAAATTCAGTATTTACACCTGTGCTTTTACTAAATGTCAAAATGTCTTTCACAATAAAAGCCTATATTAGCAAGTGTAACGCAGCCTTTATTAATGTTATTAGTTACACTTACAGGTTACACTTGTTTTTGACAAATCCTCTGTGTCTAAGGTCTATTTGAAGCACATCAGATAATAGTGAGCACCTGAATTCATCATTTAAATCTAAGCTTATAGTAAAGCTTTAATATAATCTCATTCTATCTAAATTATTAGTATTTAGCTAAACAACTCAAATTTACTACAACCTGCTGACAGGTTGTAGTAAATTTGGCAACCAAAAGGCTTTTGATAAGTAATAACAATATAATAGTTTGAGCAGCTGTTCTCAATTAACAATCAGTTTATAAGAAGACCATTGAAACGACAGGCAGCTGGCTGAACAAGCAGCTTATGAAAACCTACAAGGCAAATATTGCTGGCAGCCTGTTGAATATAATGCACCACTTTCTTTCCTGCCCGCACAGATTTAACGTTAAAAAAGTTCATATTCTATTAAAAATCAAACTCTGTTTCAAGTCACATGCCTTTGTACGTTTCTACAAGCTCAACACGCTCATGAAGAGTTAATGCTGCAAACAAAATCAGCGAGTAATTCTTCCTGCTATGGTTGTAACTGCAAATATTTGTTTTATGGCTGCAGTTGCACGCTCCACTTTTACTTGTTTTAACTGCAGAAATTGATCATTTTACAGTTCTTTGAACCAACAGCACCTGTCTGTTGGTTCAAGGAGAACAAGTTGACAGAGGGGCAAATGAGGGGACGCGAAAGTGAGGCAGACACAGAAACAAGAAATGGAAAACTTCACATCATAAAAAAAGGAAACACAGAGGGCGAATTGGAGAAACGTAATGGGAGAGAAAGTGCAGTGCTCCAGCTGCATCTGTGCAGCCTGAAAAACACCCTGTGATTTATGGGAATTGCAGTCCATCACCGATCGCATCAAGACAGAAGGCATTAGGCGATGATGAGAACAATGCGGTGCTTTAAGGACCAGTATGCACAATTTATCAACAAATGATTGCTATAAATTTGACTTATTGCTGATTGAAACATGATTTCAAAGAGTAAGTACAGAGCAGATGTTAGAGAGCTATTTTTATAACTCACATCACATGAATGGCTTTGAAAACCTCTTAGTGAAAATGGCCTCAGCCTCTATCTGCCTCTCCTCTAAACAAAAAAACATGATTGATTAAAACTGTGCATACACACAAATAGAAACCACACACACACTGAAGTGTAGCAGCTATAGCTCAGATATTAGAAACAGTGAAATAACTGACCCGTCAGCAGCTCAGTGACGTTAAACATGTTTGACATTTTTGGAAATACACACATTTTCTCCCTTACAGAGTGTAAAACAAGAGGCTTGATTCCGCTCTCATGTATGTAAAGTAAATATAAAGCTGGAGCCGGAAGCTGGTAAGCTTAGCTTAGCATGAAGACCGGAAACAGCTAGCCTGGCTCTGTCCAATGGCAACATCCAAGAGTGTGTGTGTGTGTGTGTGTGTGTGTGTGTGTGTGTGTGTGTGTGTGTATGTGTGTGTTTGAGAGAGAGAGAGAGAGAGAGAGAGAGAGAGAGAGAGAGAGAGAGAGAGAGAGAGAGAGAGAGAGAGAGAGAGAGAGAGAGAGAAAGAAAGACAGAAAGAAAGAAAGAAAGAAAGAAAGAAAGAAAGAGAGAGAGAGAGAGATGAATAGTCCATTAATAGATTAATGGAGGAAATTGATTTGGTTCCAGCTTTTCAAAAGTGACAATTTTCAGCTTTTTACAAAACAAGCAATTGAAGATTTCTCTTTCTGGGCTCTGGGTATTTTTTCTCCCTCTCTTCTCTGCTTTCTCCCTCTTTAGCTCCTCCCTCCATCTTTCTGTCTTCCACATCTTTTTGTCAATCACTTCATCTTTCTCTCTTCTGCTGTGTCACACTGGCAGCATTTTTTCTTGGTCTGCCATCTGACAGATGGTCATGACACATAGAGCCAAAAAGACATACACTCATTGAATTTCAAACAACACACACACACACACACACACACACACACACACACACACACACACACACAGACACACACAGACACAGACACACACAGAGAGAGCTCATTCAGACGCAGACATTTGATTTGTGTCTGTCACTGTGGTGTAAAACCAGTTTCTGTCCAGCTCTTCGGTCAGTGAGAGAAGAGATGAAGAAAATCTCATAAATGCTCCTGAGAGAAGGTAGCGTTGAATTAAATTTAAAGATACTCTGGTTATATAGCCTTTTGTCATTATAAAAGGCATACAAGGGTTGGCTTAAAATATCTGTGTGAGCTATAGCTG